AGATTCTTTGGCACTTTCCACATCTTTAAGCTGCACACTTAAAGACTCCACATGAGCATGTTCTACTTCATCACCATCTTCCTCCTCCTCCCGCGACGTCTCCGCCTCTGTTATTAATCTCTGTGTAATATTCTGCTTAACACATTCAAATATATCCACCTCCTCCTCCTCCTCAACAGCGCTGTCCTTGACCTGACCCACCTCTGGGGAGGCTGCCGTCGGAGTCCTAGGATCCTCCTCAGGGTCTCTCTCGGCCACGTAATCGTAATCCACATTGTCATATTTCTCCTGATTGGTCAGACTTGTGGGCACCTTAGGCTTACGTTTGATGGTGCCCGAGTCGACATCGTCCTCTGAAGTGGATGAAGTTGACCTTGACATGACCTTGAAGTCAAAGGCCTGACCTTGACCTGGACTTGATGAGAACTGACCTTGACCTGTGGTGGGTGATGAGAGTTTTTGCACTGATGAGGTGGGGGATGACAGTAAGGATCCGTTGGTCTTGATACGTTTTCTCTCCAACGAGTTAGCAGAACCATCACTTAATTGTTCAAAGTACAGAGAACTAGGCGGAGTAGGAGTGGAGTAAGGAGGGCCATCTTTGCTACCACCTTTTTCCTTCTCCAGCTGCCTCTCATACTCTGCACACATACTGAGAATATCCTCAAGTCTTTGCCGCTCAAACTTCTCCTGGGCTTGCTCTTTCACCCTCTCCTCCTTCATCTGTTTGTGTTTCAGCGACAGCTCCAACTGACTCTCTGTCAGCTCACTGATGTCACTGATATCACTGAACACACTGTCCCGGTTCTCTGAGAGCCGTGCCATATCCTGGAGGTAGTTATCAGGCATCGTACTGGTGCTGCCCCATATTGAAGTGTCTGTACTCACAATACTGGCCACAGAATTCTGCTTGGCGCCGACTGTACCTCGACTGCGCATGACGTGTTCCTCGGACTTCACAGTATCGTTACTTTGACTAGAGCTGGCACTGCTGACACTAGTGAAAGAACTGGAGCTTGCAGTACTGGCCATGCTTCCAATTCTGTCTGCTGTATTGTTATCTAAAGACACTCTTGTGGTGGACGTCTGTTTCGTGAACACTTTCTCCCCCATGTGTTGTTGATAGATATTTGGTGGTGAACCAGAAGTGTTCAGATAGGTATATTTCTGAATACCTTTTACATGCGGTGGTGCTTTGTTTGCCATACTGTGTGTTAGTGCTTCAAAACGACTAATTTTCGACACAAAATTTTCCTTTTCTAGATTATCTCGATGGTTAAAAATAGTTTCATCGGCATTTCCTTCGGCAGCTTGCGGTGTTTGATTTAGATCATTTCTTCCTTCTGACAAAGATGAATCTTTCCAACCTCCAGGTGAAGAAGAATAACCCTCATGAAACGTAGTATACGTCCCACTATTATGCCCAGGACTGTAACTCAAATTATTCCTACCTCCAGGTGATGAAGAGTAATTGAGATTATTCTGACCTCCTTGACTATAAGAGTTTCCTGATGATTTCTGAATATGATGTAAACCTTGTCCATAAGATTGCTCAGTTCTGCTCTGGCTCTGTACACTGTGTTGTATTTGATCCAATGTAGGCATGCGGTTGTTCTCTGCCAAATTCTTGTAATAGTCTGGATTGGATTCTAGTCCTAAACACAGAAGCAAAAGAAGCATACCTTTATATCAGGATTGCAGAACTGCAGATTTTGTGTCAGTGTTGCAGTATATTAGGTTTTACAGTGTGGCAGTTGTGGCAGGGTGATAGATGTCTCCGTTTGTAAGTTTGACTGCGTGTTGGTTGTGCCAGTGTGTTAGATGGGATACTGTCTTATGTGACATTATGTTCAGTATTTAACATCAAATTGAGTTTCTCCATTGCGTTAGCTGTGCTCTAACATTGTGTTTTACTTACCTGGCAGGAATCCTATAGGAGCCATAGATATCCTTGGATTGGGAAGAGCATTTTTCATGCGTATTGCCTCTTGAGGATGATTGAAACGAAAGTAATTTGAACGCCCCAGACACAGCATACACCCTGTAAAAAGAGAGCACAAATTCAAAGTACAGTGTCGATCTTGGTATTTGAAATTTTATGGAAATATCGATTTTGCCAACAGCCTGTGACTGATAGGTATTCTGTCTAACTCACAGTATGTTTAAACTAAGTGCTGACAAATCTTGTCATCTTTCTGCATCTGTTCACACATAGAACCAACTCATACAGGAATAAACTTCACCAGTGTCTTTAGAATTTTTCATTGGGCACATTACATAGGATCATAGTGCCATAGTTTTCACAACATTGTATTCAACAGGGATGAGACTGCCATTTCGTGAAAAAGTCAGAAAATATGGCATGAGGTCTGGGGAGCTGCCTAGCCCAATAATATTTTTGGCTCCCAAAAAGTCGGAAAATCAGAAAAATCTCATCCCAGATTCCACAAATCAGAGTATCCATGCTTTATTTGCTTGAACAAACATCTTACCCTGTGATAAAATGGTGGGTCTGTTCACCTTGAGTCCGTCCACTGAGCACAGGTCTGCGCCAGGGTACAGCGTCACCAGGCCGTTACAGTTCTCTACAGTACAGTGGTCTGCCTCACAGCCTGTGCCTTGGATCACAATATCATTGTTTTCTGCTGTACCAATACTGGTCACACCTAACACAATGGAGCAACAAATACTGGTCACACCTAACACAATAAAGCAATACATACTTGTCACAGCTAACGCAATGGAGCAATACATACTGGTCACATCTAACACAATGAAGCAATGCATAGTTGTCACAGCTTACACAATGTAACAGTGCATATTTGTCACAGCTGACACATTATGATACATATTTGTCACAGTTAACACAAAAACAATATATATGTCACAGTTAATAAATAAAATTAGATGCATGTTTGTCAGAGCTAAAAAAATATAGCAATATGTTTCTCACAACACAACAATATATTTGTCACAGAAAACAATCAAATTCCAAATCAGTCACACCTACCAAAATATACTGAACACTTTCAACCCAAGTGATAATTCACAATCTATTTCTGTTCATATCACTATAATACCAAACAAATACACAACTAACTTTCACATAAAGGAAAGCTATACCATTATAGTCCTATAAAAAGAGTGCAGTTTTGCCAATGTCAAAGCCACACTTTCGACACCATTCACTTTTTAACTGTTTCTAACAATGCCACTATAATACTGGACATTTACACACAAATCTCTTGTATGCACAAAGCAAGGCTAGATCTTGCAATCGTTGAAATATGAGGTTTTACCACTAAAACACTTTTAAAAACTTAAAAGTATGTAAAGGTCAGCAGAGCTCTGTAGCAGAGAGTACATCAGAGCATATATACTAGTTGTTACGTAGAAGATCAGCTGAGCTCTGTGGCAGAGAGTATGTAAGAACATATGCTAGCTGTTACATACAAAATCAGCCAACTGTGTTGATGTTCTCCAAATCAACAAACAGTCCAGACTGCCAGCCACTGGGATAACATTGCCTGCTGAGTCACATGTACACATGGAGCAGGTGCCTGACGGTGACTGCCAGTAGTTACATTGCACTATGATCTGCCAGTTGAGTTGGCATGTGCATATGGAGCAGGTGCCCAAGGCTGACTGCCACTATTCATGAGGTGGACTGTTACTACTTGCGTTTCTCTGTAGTCCTGGACATGAAAGAATCTCTTTTTTTATTTTTCATTTTTGTCCTACTTTTATAGATGCAAAGCAATCCATAAATTGTAATTTTTTTTTTGTAGCCAGAGTTTTTTTTAGAGAAACTTGAACCAGTTTCTGAAAATGGTAGAGAAATGCTGATTTCAGAGTTTAGTTATTTGGCATATCTGAATCTCTGGGTATTTTTTTTTAACAGACACAGCTTTCTTGAAAGATATTCTGATAATATTAATTGAACTTAATTGAACGTCAGAAAATTTGAAGATATGAGATAGACAGTTGAATGCAGTGTGTGAAGCTGACTAAAAGCGATTACTTCCTTTATTTTAAGGCTAAATTATTACTATATCAAACTTTGCCTCATTTGATCTTCTAATATTTTACTTCACAGTTGTTTAAGGACACCGTGAATGTACAAACAGATATATCTTGTCAGCAGGTTGTCAATTTGTAAGTTCTGTAAAACAAATTGATTTTCTTCAAATTATATCACGGTGTCAGGGCCACTGCATCAAGTGTTAATTCCATGATATCATAGCAGTCATATTACAGACAACTCTACTGGTAGAAATCAATAAGAAAAATAACAGGCATTCCACTATTGTAACATTAGATTTACTTGTAGGCGCCCCCGAGGAACCCATCCCAATCAATAATTTACACACATGGCTGACCACCAAATAATACCTACTGGCACCTTTTGATTATCAGGGTACTAAATGGAAATATTGTGTACCCTGAAAATCTCACTTGAATCAATGATTCACATACAAGTTTGACCATCACAAAAGCCTATGTTTATCAGGGCATGTAATGGGAATCTATGGTACCCCGCGAACCCAAGTTAAGTCAGTGATTATTTATGCACATGGATGACCAAAATGTAATAACCTCTGGCATCAGGTAGTCAAGATACACACTCAAAAATATCTAACAGAAGAAAAGGCTGCAATATCCTAAGTTCATTTGTATGGATGTGATGTTGACTTTATCAAATATTGTTAAAGCCCCAACTCAAAAGGGGGCTAAGGAAGGAGCCCTAAAATTATCCTCTCCAGCCATGTCCCTAAGTCTGGACACACACTAGAAACTCAGGGTACTACACAGAAAAACCAAGTTCTACCATTGATTCACACACACACACACATATATATATATATATATATATATATATATATATATATATATATATATATATATATATATATATAATCACAGTAAAAAGGCTTTGTATCCTGTGGTATCTGGGGTAAAACACTAGAAACTCAGGGTACAGAGAAAAACCAAATTCTACCATTGATTCACACACATGGGTAATCACAGTAAATAGGCCTTATATCCTGTGATATCCGGGGTGTAAAGCTGATAACCCAATGAACCACTGTGAACTATGAAGATAACACAATATTGTCTCTTATGTTGATGTGGGGACTACAATGAGTAGTTCTTCTGGCAGCAAAATTGTTATTTTTTCATTTCCTGTATGGCTTGTGTCGTAAAAGAGACTCCTATCTTTTGAACTATAAGTGCTCACGTAATTGCCTTAGAGAGCCTTCAAATCTAATATTACTATGTTAAAACCTTATAATGCTAGTAGAAAAAAATTCAGGAAACCTTAGTACATTGTTTTTCCCTAATGGGATTTTTATAGTGTTTAAAATGCATATCAACTCAAAATGCTTTTATTGCTAACATATGAATCATGAATGCTTATCTTTTATCTAAATGACTACGCCTCAACAAATTATGAAAAAAGCACTCAAAGATGACACAATATTTTCACTTCCTTTGAATCAAGCAAACACATCTTAGAGACCATTCAGAACTGATCCATGAATCAAATATGGTGGACCCTACATGAAAAGAGAGCCGACTAATCCACTGATGTTCTCCCAGCCTCCACACATGCAGTCCTAGCCAAAGTCTAGCAATTAAACCTCAGAGCTGTGATTTCATCCATTTAATCATGTGTGTGGAGGTGGGGAGACCATCAGCAGATTAGTCTCCTATTCTTTCATGTAGGGTCTGCCATATTTGATCCGTGGATCAGTAGATCCTCGGATCGTCTGTTCTGAATGGCCCCTTAGCCATTTGTAGATAATCTCATAATACATGTTACACATGGTCTCCTTTCAAAACATCAAAACTTCAGTGGGTGAGATCTTTAATTTCAAATTGATAATTCAATCAAAGAATGATGAGCGAAGCGTTCACTTGCCTATTGATCATTTCTCAGTGAAGATGTTCCTTATAATAGCCATTAAATACCACTGTTAGTCAACTAAGAATTCCTAGAAATGAACCGTGGGTTGTTGGTCTTTGTAGATATTTATGGTTATACTTTGAAGTATAGAACATTGACTCATACCACGTTATCAATCATATTTCTTTTTTTTTCATTAGAATGAACATCAAGAATGGGTAAAAATGATCATACGTGTGCACATGTACACACATACAAAAAAAAAAAAAAAAAAAAAATGCCCACAAAATGTATTTCAAGTCACACATTGATTTGTACAAGCAAGAAAGATGACCTTTCTCACTTGGGGCATGAAGTTTGCAATTACCCCAATTTCCTCAGCTCTCATGGCTGTTAACCAGCATAGCATCACGATGATCAGCCCAGATATATCTACCTATTCCAGTATATCAATTGCTTTAATCCAAGCCCCCTCCCCCATACACTTTATAGTTAAAAAGTCCTGATAAACCTTACCTTACAACTAACTAGCTACCAGTCCCAGTTTCAGAAGCTTCTGTCTGCTTCCACCTGTCTGTTTCCACAAGAGCCACATGTTACCCCAGTTAACACATTGTTGAGTCTGTGGGGAGGAGACGGCAGGGGAATTCAAACAGAACTCCATTCATTCATTCATACATACCATATCCACTTATCAACTGAGACCATCAAAACCAATGGTATCATCCCAGGCTTTAGTGAATTTTACCCACTGGCCATAGGTATTGATTGAGTCTGGCTTGTTTATTGTTGACACTGTTGGTGTATATACTCTTCATTGCTCTTCACCGCACCCCTCTCTATGTCATAAAGTGAGATCTTCTCAAAGAACCTGTACTCTCTGACACAGGGCTCCCCAACCACTTCTGACTACAGTAGTTATAGTTGATCACTTCTCTAATGTTTTAGATTATGAGAAAAGGTGAATTCACAGAATAGATTAAGAAGAGAGATAGAGAGAGAGAGAGAGAGAGAGAGAGAGAGAGAGAGAGAGAGAGAGAGAAAGGGAAGGAGAGAAGGAAGGGGGTTAAGAGAATCATGAAGGAATCAGAAGGTAGTTGATAAAATGTTCTGGCACTGACAGACAAATGGATGTCCGGATTGAACCAGAACCAGACTGACAGGAGAACAGACAGACAGACAAGTAGACAGACAGACAGACAGAGAGAGACAGATGGACATAGATAGTACACAGACAAATCTACAGCCCAGGGGGCCTGCTAAAGGTACTTCCACACACTCCCCTCAAAAGTCCCATTGATCTACCTAGATATCAGGATCATCTGTCCAAGCAAAGGGTGTGGAAACACAACCCTCTCCATATTTGTGGATCATGTTTCTTTAGGTGTGTGGTAGGATGAAAATAAAAACCATTTCCATTTAAACCTGACCTGTACTGAGGTATTCCTTTGGTTATGTTTGGACAGGGAATACCTTTAATATGATATCAGCAGAAGGCACAAGGGGTGTCTTTTTGCCATCTTTCCACATACTCAGCTTGGCTAGCGGGCAAAGACATGCTATTTCTTCATCCTGAGAAAACTATCAAATTTTCAAATATGAAATATGTACAACCCAAAAACAGAAAAAAAAAATACCCCCAACCATATATTTTAATTTATTCTCTTTCTCTCTCAATCAATTCCATGTTTGGAACAAAATCATTCATGGAAAACACATTAAAAGAAGCATGTCTGCTTCAAACACCTGTACAATAAATCAGTGGAAATATAGAGAAAACTTTAGGAAAAATCCATCACTGTCTTCTTTTACCAAAACAACTAAGCAAAACAGTGAAATTTTCAACTTTCTCTTGTTAAGACCACTCAAACTACCTCCTGTACTTACCACTGTCATAAACCAAAGGGCAATTCAAATACAAAATCTGGTTGCCATATACTAAAATTTAGACTTGAGATTTAATGAAAACTCGTATAAGGTCTACCAGTAGGATCTCTTGTTTTTTTGGTTTTTTTTTATCTTATCTTTTCATCAGCTAGAAAGTGTCAAAACAGGATATGTCTTATTAATTACTGTCGTGCGTCAGTCCTCCTTTCCTAGATTGACATTACAAGAAAAGGAAATTGGATATTACAGTAATGATAATTTATTAAAAACAATTTTTTTACATAAAGTGACTCTCTCATATGTAATATGTGGTATTCAATCTTTTAGTTGGACGGCTTAAATACTTTTTTCTAAAAAAAATATTAAAAAAAAAATAGATAAAAAACTTTTATTCTTTGTCACATTACTCCAACAGGTCATCTGTATCATCCACACAAAAAATGTCTATAAACACACTGTAACTTTACTATTATGAGTATGATATGAATTGTCATGTCTCATTTACCTGTTCAACTACTGTCATCCTTGACACATAAATTAATTAATTATCCTAATTAATTAACTGACCACGCAGGAAGCAATTTAATCCCCCAGCCTGTCAATCATTATCATAACATTATTCTATTAATATGCTCATCAAAACTACCGCTTGCTTTCCAATTACATGAAATAATTATCAACTTACATAACATATGAACTGACAGGTCTGAATTTTGGGAATTTCTGACCCCCCCCTCCTTTTAATCCCCTCAGGCTCATTACCTAAATGTTATATTTGGCAGGTAAAGAGGCCAACTTTATGCTGTAACAGAGATTCCTAACCCCTTTATCCCTATCATATTAGTTGTGTACACTGATTTTTCATGAATTAATATACTTTCTGATGAAAGAAAACTACATTGTGACAACAGTGATTCTTAACCCCCCTTCTTCCTATCATATTCAGGGGCGGATCCAGAGATATTTTCTGACAGTCTTCCAAATTATCTTTGTTGTTCCATCTTCCATTTTTGACCGTCTTCCGACAGAAAACATTAGATGGCTGAAAATGTAAACTTGAAAATCTGACCGTCTTCCAGAAGACCCAGAAGACGGCCTAAATCCGCCCTTGATATTATAATCCAAAGTCCATCAGTACACCAATTTCTATGAATTAAAATGCTCTCTGATTAAAAAAACACCAGAAATGGCTAACACTGGTATTCAGGAATGGCCAGATGGAATTATTTATATTCTTTTAGACTGATCTTTATGGTTAATGGTTAAAGCAACTGCTGGCTGTATGAAATATCCTCAGGTGCACCATGTAGGACGTGAACATGGATTTATGAAAGCACCTTGGGCCAGTAATGTGGATAGAAATACTCAACTTCACTATCACACCAAGTATGGTGCACTTCAAGGTACTAAGTACTTGTTTTTTCTACTCCTAATGGACAAATTTAATTAGATTGGACCTCTTAGATCTTGAGGGTTTATTTTTTTATCTATTAAGAAAAAAGGCATAGGTCATGTCATGGCTTACTTGGAAAAAATGATTGCAGTATATTCTCCATTTGGATTTGCAATTGAGCTACCTGCAATTTTTTTTCTTCATGTAATTGCACTCGAAACCATCTGATATTATCCCAAAATCATTAAATCTAATTATGGATGATGCTACAAATGTTGGAATATAACAAACTAATTTCATTAACCAATTTCACACATAATTTCATTCCCAGAAGCCGATGTAAGACAAATTGCACTTTTTGGAAACTGTAGGTTTTCATGTTCAGCATTTTTTTGTTAAATAAAATTACAGGAAAAAATCAGATAAAAAACACTGCCTGTTGTTTTGTATCAATTCACACTATATCACCCTGAGTTTGGTACACCACTGCCAACTCTTTTCCACATCCAACATCATGAAATCTGATGAGAATGCCTTGAACCACAGGGTACTGCATGCTTTCACACTCCTCTTTCTTTTATTACATTCCCACTATAAACACAATCAGTTGGCAGTTTACATGTCCTCTGCCAAACCTAACACTGAATATTGTCTGAAGTGCTGCGCCTAGTGGTGTGGAAATAGGAAGGTGTTCAGCACCGTTTTAAGTAAATCTGTTTTAGTTACTTTAGGAGGTTGACACTTAATTGCAGCCTACTGTAGTGCTGATCCCAGTAGTATGAAAATAAAAATGCATTGTGGACCATTTTAACTTAGGGACCATTTGAATGAATTTTTTCGAAACATATAATGTGCACTTAATCCACAGGGACTCTCGCTGAATGCAATCAGACTAACAAACTAGCATGACTCCTGTTTTTTTTTTTTTTCCTTTTGAACTTGTATAATCAACAGCTTCTATATGTTCTACCTAACGTCGGGAGGAAGTGTGTTAGTCTGTTCATGTCACTGTCAGGTTTCTCTACTTCAAAGTTGTTACAACGTCTCATCAGTATCTACTTTGCTTCTTATCACTTAACCTTAATATCTCAAATACAGGTACACACACACACACACACACACACACACACACACACACACACATACACACACACACACACACACACACACACACGTGAACCCACCTTCAGGTAAGGGCAGTAGGGTGACAGCAGTACTAAGTCTTCCACTTCCAAGACTGACCAAGTGTGGTTTATCTGTCTGCACCTTGTAGCTCTTCCCAATCTCCGTCACCTCGATCTGATCCTGAAAGCAGCAATGACAATAACGTGACAATATTACCACTAGGATACCATAGTCCCAATAACAGACACAGGACAATATGTAATAATGATAACTGGTAGGAAAAACATAGGCATATGGGTGGCAAAAGCAGACAATTACAGCATCAGAAAACAATAATTACTGTATCAACTTGTTGACATCATCAGTAGTAGCAACGTAGCTAAAATGCTGACAAACTCCCAAGTTACAATACTAGCAAAGCTCCGTTTGTGAGGCAGAAACCTGTTACAAATTCCTGCTAACTGAGTGAATGAATGAATGACTCTCCTTCCGTAGAAATGTTTCAGGAATGCGTGCATTGCCCTCATTGTCCTGAAACCTGAAGTGGCATGCAGTTAACTATGACGAAGAACTATGCAAGATGTTTTATGAGGGAAATGAACTTTCAAGGATTTATTAAGTTTATACTCCCCTGGTATGTACTTTGTATACATAAGTCTAATTGTTTTCAAACTGTTTCAATCTCAACTACGACCAGTTGATCACTCTTGCTTTTGATCAGTCATGAACAGTTAATTCTAAATGTAATATGCCATAAGCAAATGAATTTCCTAATGACACCAATAATGTTTAAAGGTTATTGGAAACCTACTGCACATTTTACGCCATATTTAGCGTGTGATGTAAAAACAAAGAGGTCTGGCAATTTATCTTAATCAACGGAGAAAATGTTAAAATGTCATTTAGCAGCAGGAGTGGTAAAACACACACCTCAACTACAAGGTAAAATATATCCAAATTCAGGTAATACATTTATGTCTTTGCATACTGAATTCAAGAGCTGAATGATTAAACCAAGTACATTTTTCATAAAACATTAAAACACACTGAAACCCACACAAAACAGTTTTAAGTTTAACTCTGAGTGAATAAATGCATAATAAAAATACAATTTGACAGTAAGAATGTATCGTCTAATATTTGTTATGAAATTATAACAAAATTAAGGAGTCACATATATCTGAGTTTGTCATTTGAAAGAACAACAAGTTACCAGGAAAATAAATAAATAAATAGCACCTTATTACAGAAAAGAAAGGCACTGTAACATCAAGAACAGATAAGCACTGGGAGAAAAAGAACAACAATATGCAAACTTTCCAAGAACAACAAACTGTTCCATGAGCAAAAAACATGTCAAACAGAATGACATCCTGTTAGCAGTGATAGAATTTAGTCACAGAAAGGTGTGTTCTGAACTAGTTGACACGGGCATATCAAGTTACACAAATTTGCTGAAACGCAGGTACAACAAGCAGAGACCATGTAAATCTGAGAAATATGTATTGAAGAAAACTTGTTTGTGATCACAATGCTGAGGAAACAAAGCAAAGCAAGGGGAATTAAGTATCGACACCAATTTTAACAAGGTAAATGCAAAATCAGTGCTTGTAACTCTTTCTGACCCAGACCCCTGTTCCAATCTTTTCTCATTTTTTAAAGCAATCGTCACAAAAACTTTGCAATGAGCAACAACTTGACATAGCAAATGGAAGTTCCCTCACAGAAAGAACAACTGAATACAACTAGACATCGACAAAAATTCACAGCAAAACTGACAACTTCAAACAAGCACTCTACTACTTACAAAAAACTCATTTTCTTTAGCTTTATTAGCTTCCATTTTGTTTGCCTTATTTGCCTGTAAGTAGCACACTGAACCTTACTGACACTATATTAAATCCAATGCCACATGGCAAATATACAGGTGTGTATATATATATATATATATATATATATATATATATATATATATATATATATATATATATATATATATATATATATATATATATATATATCCAATATTAACTGCAATAAATCTACATGTAAATATAAATAATACAACTATGGTTTTCAAAGATTAAATCAAAACATAAATGTCATGTACTTAAAAACATTACAATAAATCTTGGCCAGAAGTCAAAATATACAGATGGTTTCAATGACGCATTAAATAAAACCAAACCAATTTACAAGTTATTTCAGGAACTGATGATGCGTGGCAATTACACTTGCTGTTGGTGTCTATGTACTAAGTCTGCAAGTGTGACAGATCATGTCAAAATTGTCTCTTTCTTCATACTAAAAACTAATTTTTTAAAATTAAAATACACCTTAATCTGCATAATAAATATTAAATTATTAAATATTTTCAATACAAACTGGACATTGTTTAATAATATTATATCAAACAAACAGTAAGCAAATTCAAGCCCAAAACAAGTTGTAAACATGAAACAAAATGGCTCATAACCAAAATGTTGTCTTGCTCTCTAAACATGAAAATTCATTAAAACATAATACTATATCATACGGTATCATGCAACAGAAATATACTAAAGGAAAACAGAAGAAATTTAACAAAGTCATGCAGCAGAAGACGTCAAACATTCTTGAAGATAATGAACAAAATGCAGTCAATGAGACACTTTACAATGAAGGTAAACAAAATAAAAGGATATGTTTCTTTTGAAAATCAAAATCAATTCCAATTATTCCCAAAATTAAAAATCACATGACATGAATAATATAACTAACCAACATACATCAAATTCAAACACAACACCACTGATATTCATAGTAAATAATAGTAAGACAATAAAATCATAAAACCAAACACTTCTTACAGAGAGAACGTGGCTGATAGTAAACAGTTGAAACATCTATTGTATTTCATTCTTTACGAATTACAGAATAACTATTTAAGCTGGAATAAGGTGGACAATCTGAATAGTATATTATGTGATTTCGGGAAGGATGTAAAGCAATGAATTCAATTTTTGGAGGCAGGGGGAGAGAAGGTTGGAAAGGGGGGGGGGGGGGCAGACATTCACCAATAATACGGTTAATTCAGCCATGTTCTTTCCAGAGGAGTGTTCCTCCCTCTCATGCAGACCTTTTCCTTACAATATGAGTACGGGACATGTCAGCTACAGCTCAGTATGCTGTGTGGTACTACTGCAAAACACAGGTCACGCATAAACTTTGTTTTGGCTTCTCCATTTATTTTCAGAAAATGCTGCGATATAATTAGACAATTTCTTACATTAAATCAAACTTGATAATGAATACCAATCATTATTTGTTTTTGCAAAAATTATGATGAGGAATTTCAAAAATATATCCACCGACAAATATCTATGTTCTAAAATCTTATTTTAAAAAATGTTGAAACTGCATGATTTTCTTTGTGACAACACTTTTTCCTTTTAAAGTAAATAATTAAGAATGCTGTTGAAAATTTTATGACAAAACAAATTTTGCATTGACAAAACATTCATATTCCATCCTCTGATGTCAGTTTTTGTAAGTTTATGCTGAACAATTCCAAGTCACTACAAGTAGTTAGCTGAAAGATAATGAATTCCCAAAAAAGAAAAACATGTCAAAGTTTAGTCAGGACCCTAACAATGCACAGATATCCCATGAGGGGAAAAAAGTAGACATGCTGCCGTCTCCCATACCTTCAACTGACGCATGGCAGTGTCCAACATGGCTAATTCATCCTGAAATGAATTATGGGTATTCTTTGATGCCGAAATATACCAGAACAATTTGAAATCCCATACAGTTTTAGACCAGTGCTCTGTCTGATGTGTGTAACTACACATTTTTTTTATCATACCAACTATAACAACAGTATGTACAAAGTACAGTGTACTAAAACATTGTTTTGGGACCATTTAAAATCCTTTCATAGCCCATAGAGATTTGACAAAATCTTCCACCAAAACAACTGTAATTGATTTTTGTGAAATATCTGAAATCTGAAGATACATTTTAACCTGGAATAACAAGGAAAGTTCAATATTCAACTGAGCATGATTTATATGAACTCTCCCTGAAATGACTGAAACAAAGATACTATTTTTCTGAAAAAAGTTTGATGAGACATCAGTTATTTAAACAAATACAGGTTTTGTTTTTAAACATTGTAATAATAAATGCATACTGCCTCAATATTCAAGCTGAGATTACAACATGACTGTATACCTTAAATTTGGATAACTACACAGATATTTGAATATTTGGCAATGAGAACAATTCTACAAGACAAACATTCAATGTAGTAAAAAGTCTGATTTTTATATGTTAAAAAATGTAGAAAGTAATAAAAATGTTTCAACACACCATAAAGCATATTCTTAGTAAGTCTAAGGGGAAATTTAAAAGAGGATATTAATTTTGAGGTCAAGTTCAAGGACGTGGGCAAGGTAGAAAAAAAAAACAGTAGATAAATTATGAATGCAATGAGTGATACAAATGACAGTCTAATCCATAATTAGAGTTTTTATTTTATTTGATTATTAATAAAATTAGCAGCACAAAAGAAACCAAAAATTATATCTGGAAGCAAGAGGTAGAGCATAGTAAAATGTTACTGCCAGCATCACAGTTAGTTGGAGGGCCTGAAATATCTCAAAATATGTGTTAAAATTTAAATTATCCCTCTTTTATTTTAATTAACTTCAAGCTGCGGAAGCCAATGTGTGAATGACTGAAGGTGAATCTGAGGACAAATTATCAGAAAAGCTTAGTGAGTTCAAGTGTAGTAGTGCCTGTGATTTTAACTGAAAAGAGGATAAATGAAGGGATTAAAATAATCATCATAACAACACAAAATGGGTTTTTGATAATTTCTTTTAGGTAAGAATGCAATTGCTGATTTTTATAAGAATCACTAAGTTTTTTTTTTCAAACATATGAAATCACTCTTCATTCAAAACCTTTTCAAACCCACTTTGATGTTAAAATGAAGCTTGTATCTGTGAGAAATGAAACTGAAAGTGAAGCCATGACAAGCCAGCCAATCAGTGTGTACCTTACATTCCTCTTCTAGCTCTGCTAACACAGGGGTGGCAATCTGTGAGAAAAGATAACATTTCTTAATAACAAGTAGAGTTATAAAACATAATGATATGCTAAAGTACACATCAACACATTTTTTTCTCTGCACTGAAACATAAAGGTGAATATTTTTCAGGAAATATCAGTCAAAATCAACATAAGGTGAATGTATTTCAGGAAATATCACTCAAAATTAAACATTTTTTTTTTTTATAAATAGAAACTCATCAAAACTGCAGCTCCAACTCTCTTTACATTACTTAGCTTGCAATTCATCTGGCCTGGGGTGTTTTCTGTACGGTAATTATCACATTTTCTATGCCTTGCTCACATATTTTTTTCCAAGATTTCACATTTTCTGACACAAAAAATTCTCTTCTAGGAAACGTTCCATCTTTAAAAAAATTATTTTTCTGGATCAACATTTCAAAGTTTTTTTTTTTTTTTGGCAAATCATAACTTTAGGAAAAATGTTGTTTTAATTTAAGTAACTAATGTAAACTACCAGGTAAGAATCTGTACAGGTGAACCCAAGAAAACGTTTATACAAGATTGCGGCCTTAGACGCAATCCCATTTATGACGTTACATAATAAGTAGGGAGTCGCCCTGGCGCCGTTATACAGCCACTTGTGCCTCTACCGCACTTCTTACATCATCTTGACCAATCGTTACGCGTCCTAATTGACATGTGACCCACATGTGCGCGTTGAAGATCTTAGCAGTAGCGGTCAGATCGTATCCAGCCTCCGGCACGAGCGGTCAACT